TTTTACTCTATGAATCATGTTTTGGGGTTTTCTTTCATATCAGCCACTGGTTGGTATATCCCGGTAAATTTGAAGCTCACCCTCCTTGAACAATCTCTGATGAATTTTTACTCTGAAACTGATCATGAAGACTTATGATGCCATAGCATTGATTAAATCTTCCAAACAAAGCTATTTTACCTTCACAATTGCTAATTAGAAATTACTCTATGAATCATGTTTTGGGGTTTTCTTTCATATCAGCCACTGGTTGGTATATCCCGGTAAATTTGAAGCTCACCCTCCTTGAACAATCTCTGATGAATTTTTACTCTGAAACTGATCATGAAGACTTATGATGCCATAGCATTGATTAAATCTTCCAAACAAAGCTATTTTACCTTCACAATTGCTAATTAGAAACTTACTTTCTTCTAAGAATGTGAATGGCTTTTATCTATGAAATGAGATTGATTTCCGTGTCTCTTTTGTTTATGAAGTTAAATATGATCACTGGACCAAGCTAGTCCAGTTAAGCTAATGTTTCTGGATCCTTGATAGTTAGAATAGTTCTTGAGCTGTAATAGCAGCTCGAGGATTTGACCATCTTGATTTTGTTTTGCTTCTAACTCTGGCTGGATTAGATAAAAAAGTCCATCTAAGAATAAGAGAAATTACTTTAAGAAATACTCTGAAGAAGAGACAGAACTATGTAGCACTTTAAAGACTAACAAGACGCTCCTCACCTAATAAACCATCTTGTTAGTCTTTCAAGTGCTACATAGTTCTGTCTTTTGTGTCAGCTAGACCAGACTAACATGGCTGCATCTCTGTCACTATTCTGAAGAAGAGCTCTGTGTAAGCTTACCTCTTTCACCAACTTGTGTTGGATCATTAACAGATACTAAACCTCCCACCTTGTATGTCTTTGCAATTTTATCATGTCCATTGAAAGCAGGTGTTGAAGTCCATGTCTGTAAGTGTGTTTGTGTAACTGCTTCTGATTCTAAGTCTGTATTTGGAAGGCTAACATCCTTGCTGAAAGATGAGGCTGTAAAGAGATGTCAGTTTCAATAACATTCATATTTCATTGTGTCATGGAGGAGTCTGTCACATAAAGCATTGCTTTTGCATTTATTCATATGAACCTTATGGCTCCAATAGAGGAAAAACCCTGAAATGTTTGTTTTCTTCCTAGTATGGAGCTGTACCACATGGAGCAGATGCTCATTTTTTACCATCAACACAAGGAGGTGCATCTGTTCCTCCATCAGCTGCTGCAGAACCTCAACAGTTTCTGTTGCCTCCTCCACCAGCACCTTTTAATGGAGCATTGCCACCGCCTCCACCTCCGCCTCCACCTCCACCACTACCACTTTTGAAGGGCTCAGGAATACCTCCTCTTTTTGGTGCACCACCACCTCCACCACCACTGGGCTTTCCTGGAGTACAGTGGTCTCCTCCACCAAACATGTTGCCCTTTGGATTGAAGCCTAAAAAGGAGTTTAAACCTGAGATAACCATGAAAAGGCTCAATTGGGCAAAGGTAAAACTAAATGTGGAAAATTTCTGATGCTACATTTTATATAGAAAGAACAGTAGTTTTGCTTTGTGAGAAGAGTAAGTTGTCTAGAACAGTGGCTTGCAATCTTTTTGAGCATGTGGACTGCTTTTCAATCTATTAAAATTTTATGGACCCCCCCCCTCCCAACAATACAGCTGTTTTCAAAAGTTCCATTACTTGATAGTCATTTGAAATGTATAATAGTTGATTCTATCTTAAAAACAAATATAGTAGTATTGGGTACTGTACTTAATGAGATGGCTGGTGCTGTAGAATGGATTACAGTTTCTATTTTAAACTTTCAGTGGACTTGTTACAGTACCGCAGGGTCCGCAGACCACAGGTTGGGAACCACTGGTCTAGAATGCACACGGGTTTTTTGAAAATGTATTCATCTCTTAAGTCTTTAAGTGGCTTTACTCTTTCTTTCTTCTCCACTGTTTCCTCCTCTTTCAAATGACAGGATGTGTTTAAAAATATTCTGTTTGTGTTTTTATCATGTATTATCTTTTATATTAATATAAACTTTTGGACCAAAAAAACTCAATGTCAAGACTTGCACGTAGACGAAAAACAAAATATATAATATTATATTCTTGTTCAGTCAGTTATGTTTAGAGAAGTTTGCATTATAACTGATAATGTTTTAAATCTCAACTCATGTCAAATATCCTATATTTATATACAGGGCACTGTTAGACCCACAACTAATAAGGTAGAGCTGATAAAATACTTCACGTGTATTAGAATCTCTTTGTCGATATTCATTTGTTGTGAGCACATTACCACAAAAATCAGAATTATGCTAGCAATTCTAAAAAAGTTGTGTAAAACTCAGTTTGGATTAAAGAAGTTGGTGTTAGGCCTGTTCTACATTAGGAGTGTAGGTCAAACGTAACTGAATTAGGTCTATTTTTCTAAGCCTGTTCTGTTGACTTGAAGGGCAGTTAGTCAGTTTGCTACTCCTCATTTTCATGAGGAATAACACTAAGTTTGACCTTGAATTGTCGACTTTAGGGTAATGCAGATGCAGAGGTGTGAACATCGACGTTCTTGGCCCTTGGGACGTGCCCCACAGTTGGTTCTTGTGAGTGCTCTGGCCAGGAATTTTAACTTCGCTGCTCTCCAGATACAGAAGAAAATTTGACTTAGGTTTTCTGTGTGGCCAGTGTGGCAAACAGACTGCAGAGCACACCTGGTAGCACACCTGACTATGAATGCCCAGGGTTGCAAACAAGTACCAGCATGGAGCATGCAGGAGATCCTGGACCTCATGGCTGTCTGGGGAGAGCAATCGGTTCTGGCAGAACTGCTAAGGAGTACAAGAAATGCTGATATTTATGCCAAGATCACACAGGATATAGTGGATGAAGGATATGACAGGGACATTGAGCAATGCTGTGTGAAAATAAAGGAGCTGAGGCAGTTGCACTAGAAGACAAAGAAGGGAAACGCACAGTCTGGGTCAGTGCAGCAAACATGCTTCTTCTTTAAACAGCTGAATGGGATTGTAGAGGGGGATATGACTAGTTTCCCTAACGAGTTCATGGATTCTTCCCAAGACACTCCTCCGGCAGCCTTAGGCAGCAGCATGGAGGACAGTGTGGATGAAGAGGAGTAGAAGGAGAATGGTGAACAGGTGAGTGGGGAAACCGATCTCACCGACAGCGAGGACCTTTCTATAATTTTGGGGACAATCCCCTCCTACCAGGACATCTTGCTGCTGGGTCCTGGTGGTGAGGATGGCACTTCTGGTGCGTTCACGTTTTCAGTCATGGTACAAGTGGGTTAAGGCAATTGGGTGTGATCTGTGGTGGACACTCTGTTTACACAGCAGGGGTTCCCTGGAACAGTTTAATGTGTCTGAAGATGGAGTGGGAATCCTCTCTCCATATCTCCATAAAGCGCTCAGAGAGACTCGTTCATCCTACTCACAGAGTTTCTGGAGTGGCCTGCCTTATTCCATCCTCTATGGTAGGATGCCGAAAATATTGCTGTATATGGTCCATGTTTCTGGCCACATTCACTCAGCGTCGGTTGCTTATCAGTATGTGAGATTCAGACAAGATTTACATTGCACATGACAACCTGGACGAAGCAGGGAAAGCTATATAGCTGGTACTACATCAGTACACCTGTTGGCTCATCCCCAACAAAGAATTGTTTGAGCTCCTGCCCTGCCACCATGTGAGCCACTACCCTTCTGCCATGTGCTGTCCGAACACTTCTCAGTGTCTGTGTGATCCTCTGCACCTCCACCACAGCTGGATCACCATCCCTTCCCACCCACACGTTCCTTTGCATCTAAATGAACCCCTGCCCTTCTGCCACATGTGTACCACATCCACCTTCTGCTCGCAGGCTCCTTGGTGTCTGCGTGAGCCCCTGCCCTGCCACCATACATGGACCTCTGCTACCTGCAGGCTGTTGAGGGAAGGAGGTGCTGAATACATTGCATGAGCCTCTGTCCTGCTGCCGTGCCACTATGGCTCCCTTTTGAAAATGAAATTGTTATTTGCAAGCACTTGTGTCACACATGCTTTCCAAGGAGAAGCAAAAGCGTGAACCCTGACCTGTTCCTTCCCATGCCTGCCACCAAATGAGCAGCTTCCTTAAGATCTCTGTGATGTACATGCTGCATAGCTGGTGCTTAAAAGCATAACTGTGGTTTGTATGTAACACATCCCTATTGCCTCTGGACAGACCTTCCTTTATGCGAAGAGATTAGGTTTTATTCTCCACATTGTATCTACTGTGAAGTCGGCCCTTCATTTCTCATTACTGCGGATGCCACAGTGAGCCTGCTACGTGCTCCCCCAAGTCGAGTTCCTCCTGCTGTTTGGCTATCACAGATATGAAGGTGAAAATATTGAAGGGGTACCCTTCTCAACTAGCAAATACAATCTTCCTACTTGGACTAGGCACGACTGAGTGCAGAAAAATTCTGCTGCAGGAAATGAGTGGAGTGTGAGGACAGGAATACCAAGTGAAGACACAGGAGAATAATGTGACAGTCATGGCAGAACAGGATAGCCAGATCAACAAGCACTCTCTCTGGCCCATGTGGGTCCGCTTACCCTCCTCGCTAAGCTCCATATTTTCATCTCCCAGGATTCCTAGAATGCGGGTGGAGGACAGTCAAGGGCAGCCTCACAGTCATCGTAGCAAAGCCATCCACTATGTCTTGCATGTTTCCAAGAGTCACTGTCCCTCGCAGCAGACAGGTATTGATTGCCTTGGCCACTTGGATCACAGCAGTCTCCACTATAGATTTCTCCATTCCAAATTGATTCTCAACTGAAGGATAGTTGTCTGATATTAGGGTTTTTGCCCCTCATTACTCAACTGTCATTCTGGTAATGCTGTACTTAAGAATAGGGGAAAACAATTTGCAAACTTCCATAAAAGTGGCCTTACACATGCAAAAGTTTTGCAGCCACTGCTGATCGTCGTATACTCGCATAACTATGCAGTTCCACAATCTGCTTGTCCATGGGGCCAGAACCAGTTCCACTGTGTCAAAAGGTTTGAATACTTCCTTCATCTACCAATCACATATGTCAAGTGCTTCACAGAAGACTGTTTGTCTCCTCAGATTCTTCCTTGTTGCGGTGGGCCCTAGATGGGTTCTGTACTTAATGCGGCAAAAGGTGCAAGATGATTCTTATGATTGCTATAGTATTTGTTGCTGAATGGGTTCTATGCTGGTGTCCATGCTTACCCTGCTATGGTATCTGAATGGATAAGCAGGGGGAAAAAAAGGGTGTGAAAAGATTGTTTGTTGTTGTTTTCAAGTGGAGGTATGGGGGAGAGGGATGTTGATGAGTTCATTATGGGATGTTGATGTTCATTAGGAACATCATCGGACTGCAAAGGAGCAACAGGAACTGAGAGAGCTATCCACAGTACATCGCTCTCAAAGTTGATGGTAGCTACCCTACTGGAGACACTCACAGTGGGGACATGAACCTTTAATTTTATAAAAGGATGCTAAAAACCTGACCTTAGTAAAATTGACCTTATCACTTAGTGTAGTCAAGGCCTTAGTATTTAGACCTTTTTAAAATTAGAATCTCATTTCTTTTAAACAATACACTTCTGTACATTAATATATATTACTGTATTTTGATCATTAGAAATCTTTGTAACACTGAAAACAGTGATCGAATTACTCTATGAACATGTAGCCTTTCAAGTGTCCAGTTGTTACATTGTAGTATCATACCACTTAGAAAATCTAGTTGTAGACCAGTACTTCATAGTGTTAGGTGCTATGTATATATGAAACAAAAGACATGTCCCAAAGGACTTATAATTGACACATAAAACAAGGGACAGCAGAAGAACAGGTGAATATGGAGTACAAAGGAAACAATGAGATGTCGTTCAGCACGGTAGGTAGTGGTGTCGGCAACCAACTGCTTCACCATTCTTAAAATTGTACTTTACTGTAAGGTCAACAAAAGACTTAAGGAGGATTATACTACATTTGCAAGAAAACTTTGATCTCTTGTTGCTTTGCAGATTAGGCCACGTGAAATGACCGAAAACTGTTTCTGGGTAATAGCCGATGAAGATAAGTATGAGAATGCTGATTTGCTTGTCAAACTGGAGCATACGTTTTGTTGTCAGAAGAAAGGTAAATAATTTATTGACTTCTAAAGCTGTATTTTTTACTAAAAAATCACAGTGCAGTAATTTTAAAAATGTATTGTATATCAAACACTTTAACTCTGCATATTTTGTAGGAGAGCACATATGATATATAATCTGAAAAATGATAAATTTTAGTCACACTTAATTTTTATTAAAGGAATAATATTCTATTCCATCATTTTGAAAGCATTGCGTTACGTGAAAGGGAGAACAAAAACGTCTGTGAAAAATGACAACATGATTCCTTGTTGTTTTTGACTTTTTTGTTTAATCATATTTTAAAATAATATCTGGTCATATAGTGTAAGAAGATGAGCTACTGACAAACTGGGGGGTCTCAATGTGGTGTCCCAAAATTGTTGTTTAGCTTGCAAATATATATGCTTTATTGATACACTATGAACATAGACAAGCCCACATTGAGTAAATATTGCTGAAATTAAACATCTGAGTATAATTGACTCAGGTTTTCTGGGGGACAGTTGGTAATCTTTTCATAAGCTCCCCCTCTTATTACAGATCAAGTCCTGCTCTTGTTAAATCTGTTTTTGACTCTGTTTTTTTAAGCCTGTGGAAAGGTCAGCTAGGCCACAGATAGTGAGAGGGCAGTCCTTTCTCTATAGTAGCTCTGGTTACCCTGCTCTTGGTTTTTTCCTCTCTTTTTCCAGTTGGGTTCTGTGTATGCTGCAGCCAAGAGTTTCCCCTTGAGAGGCTGTGTTTGTGTGTTACTTTCTTTAACAGGAATATTAATGTTCTTATGTCTCCTTGACATCGGAGGGCCTGAACTTTGAGATGTTTCCCTTCTCAGCAAAGTGGGGATGCAGACGGAGTAGATTTGGTGGCAATAGATTAGGACTGCATTTAGCAGAAATTGTGAAAGTTCTTTCACTTTTTTAGTGATAGGGCATATTTCTGTCACAGCAATATTGAATTATGCTTTTAAGGAAATAAGAGTATCTTCATTAACATTGACAAATGAGGAAAACATTACGTTCTATACTGAAACAGAAATAATTGTTTCTGTATCAAGTTGTTAATGTATGAAGCTACTATCAAAGTAGTGATTGTGATTATTGTTTTTATTTCTTAGGTGCTAGTGGCATGGTTTCAGATATTAATCTGGTATTAAGAACAGTATTGTTTGAACTAACAGAATCTGATGCTTTTGTTATTGTGCATGGCAAGAATTACCTTTACTTTACAAGTATCAGAGGGGTAGCCGTGTTAGTCTGATAGCGACAAGGAGTCCTGTGGCACCTTATAGACTAACTGAAGTGTAGGAGCATAAGCTTTCGTGGGCAAAGACCCACTTCATCAGATGCGAAAGCTTATGCTCCTACACTTCAGTTAGTCTATAAGGTGCCACAGGACTCCTTGTCGCTATCAGACTAACACGGCTACCCCTCTACTTTACAGTGATTAATAAATTGTAATCTATTAATCTTGCAACCAGCTGTGAATTTACAAGTTTTTGCGGAAGAAAGATCCTGAGGAACTTGCTGTCTAAAATATAGTGGGAGAAAAGTTTAGTTTTCAAGACCAAAATTTTAAAGTACTTATGGAAGATGATTTTTTATACTCTGATGAAAGCGGTTGTTCTTTCCTGTTTTGTGTGTATCGAATGGAAAATACTTTGTGTTATTTTCTGTGTGTGAGAGAATTTCCAATGATGAGCTCTTTTCTGAATTAGTAATTGAACAAATATGGTATAGCTACTTTTAAACTAATATAAATTCTGCAGACTAGCAATTGTTGATGGTTCTGGATCATCACTAATAAACTGTATTTGATACTATTATCACTGGGACAGGAAAGCAGTTTGCTTCAAGATATGTCATTAACTATGTTTTAGGCCAACATAGTTTGCTGGAAAGAATCTTTTATTTAGTATTCCACAGATAGTTCCCAGATGTTTTATTAGTATCTTACTGGTGGAAAAGTGACAATTATTGTACAGACTAGCAGATATACCTGGCGTTGCTGAGGTCTTTAAGTAATGGGTCTTTCAGTTTGTATGGAAAATAAAAGGAAAATGTACATGATTTAGTTAAATGAGTGCACTTTTCAAAAATGAAGGAAAAATGTTTGTATTAATAAAAGAAGGAAAGTGACTCAAACAATAGATAGAGCTTGTTGGTAGACAATATTTGCAGTTGATTTGTCTTCTGCTGGAATAAAAGGGAGTAGGAGTGCAGGAATGAGGACAGAAGACCGGGAAGGTTAGGGGGCCCAGGGCACGGGGTGGTGGGTGCTGGAATGGGGGCTGAGAGCATGAGATTTGGTGGGGAGGGGGGCTGACGTCAGGGGATGGGTGTACAGAAGTCTGTGCAGGAGTTTGGGTGTTGGGGGGGCACAGGGCAGGAGATGCGAGTTCAAGAATGAGGGCAAAGGGCTCAGGTTGGCAGGCTGGGAGAGAGAGAGCGTACTGGAGCTGCCTTTGATAGTGTGAGTAGGCCTACTTTGGTGCAGGCTCCTCCCTGGAGACCAGGGTTGTGCTCCTCCCTGGGATCTGAATGGTGATGCTTTCTAAGAGTCTTGGGGATGCGGTTACCAGTTCTGGTGTTTAGCTTGCTCCCCTCCCCCCATCGTACCAATCACTCACCCATCGTTTAGGCAGATATGGTACCCTTACGTGCAACAAACTCTCTTCCAGACACTCCTTATCACAACTTCTAGAATGAACAATGCATTCTATGCCATACAGTTGAAACTGTGGCTCAAAGCCTGGGTCTTTCATGGTTCCAGCTCATAGAAGTATCATGCTCTGAAGAGATGCACAGTGTTCTTCTTTGAGTGATGTCCCCATGGGTGCTCCTCTGTTGGAGTCGGGCTCGTCCCGGCACCATGGATCCGAGACTTGTGAAGCAGTGATGATTTGGGCTGTGCATGTGTGAGTGGAGAGCTGTGTTCCAGCCTTGGAAGTAGCATGCCAGCTTTCCCCAGAGCCTGTAGTCATTCTTGATCTACTCAAGCTCATACCTTGCAATATCATTACTGCCACGTGGATGAGTAGCATGGGGTAGTTGTCAGAGGGCCTAATAATCCTTGATTATGCCTCTGTATCATCTCGGATATGGCCCCTGACAGGCAGCATACCTCCCCAGATGACATGTCAGGGCAACAGATGGGCGTCTTTGTCTCCCTCAGAAGATAGTCTCCGACCAGCACTACCCTACATTTCCTCCTTGTAGTGGTGGCTGCAGACCTGTCAGCCGTGAGGTTAGAAGGCTTCTTCTCTTCTGCTTTAGGGAGTGATTCCTTATCTCCTTTATCTTCAGAACAGCGTAACGGTTGTCCAGTACCCCAGTGAGAGGTTTGGGAGCAGGGATGGAGCACTGCCGGAAGTGACCAGCTGCCAGTGTCCCCCTGAACAATCTCGTCCTTCATCAGTAGTGTGTCAGCAGTCTTTTGTAATGGGGTCCAAGAAGTCCAGTATCAGGTTCTGATGCCACTGTTACATTGTGTGCGGTGCTAGTCATAAGTATTTGTTCTTACTGTGCAGCATCTTCGAGGTCCTCATTTTCTTCCTGAATAGTCTCTAAATTGAGCATAGATTCTGCATTTGTCACTGCTGTTGCTATTTCTGTGTCATGATTAGTGACCTCCTCATTTTGGGAAAGTGGCATTGAAATGTCATTTGTGGGTACAAAGTTTTTATCATTAGAACTGGAAGTTTCACCATCTAATGACTAAGGTGTCCTCTACAAGAAATGATCTTATTGGCTTTTAACTCTTAACTGTTGTTTCACTCTGTTGCTTTGAGCATCTCTTATTTCCAAACTTTCAAATCTTTGCTTTGTTTTTATAAAGGGTTTCTTTTAAAACACAGCAATGCAAAAGAAAATAATTTTCTAAAGCCTATTTGTTATACAAAATGTTAATTGCATATATGCCACAAAGAATATTATGTAATAAGTTTGTAGGTGTTATTTACTAAAGCCCTTATAGCCTTATTTCAAAGTATTGAAATTTTGTCTGCTAACATGTTCCCATTAGTAAATGCCTCTAATACCTGGTGGCTACGTCTACAGTGGCCCCTTTTCCGAAAGGGGCATGCTAATTTCACAGGTCGTAATAGGGAAATCCGCGGGGGATTTAAATATCCCCCGCGGCATTTAAATAAAAATGTCCGCCGCTTTTTTCCGGCTTTTAGAAAAGCCGGAAAAGAGCGTCTACACTGGCCCCGTTCCTCCGGAAAAAGTGCCCTTTTCCGGAGGATCTTAAAGTAGGAATAAGATCCTCCGGAAAAGGGCGCTTTTTCCGGAGGAACGGGGCCAGTGTAGACGCTTATCCCCCGCGGCATTTAAATAAAAATGTCCGCCGCTTTTTTCCGGCTTTTAGAAAAGCCGGAAAAGAGCGTCTACACTGGCCCCGATCCTCCGGAAAAAAGCCCTTTTCTGGAGGATCTCTTATTCCTACTTCTTATTCCTACTTTTCTAAAAGCCGGAAAAAAGCGGCGGACATTTTTATTTAAATGCCGCGGGGGATATTTAAATCCCCCGCGGATTTCCCTATTACGACCTGTGAAATTAGCGTGCCCCTTTCGGAAAAGGGGCCAGTTTAGACGAGCCTGGTGTGTTGTTATGGATATGAATAGGGGGCAATTGCCAGAGCAGATATAAAGTTTATTAAACAACTAGAATTAAAAGTTTATCACAAAAAAGCCTTTAAAGTTTAATTTAAAATGGACAAATAGGTAGCTTACGGCTGAGCCTAATATGGTTATTGTATATGAAGACACAGAAGAAAAAATAGGAATACAAAAAAATCTCCTCTGCAGAGATAAACATCTAATTTAAACGTTAGTCACCCTCAGACCAAACCAAATCACTTTACAGTAACAGAATTCATTACGACTTTCAAAACCTCTAAACTATGCCAAGACTGTAAATAGCATTTCATAACATAAAATCACTAATCACAGAAGCTACTTCAGTCACACAGATGACAACTTAGATGAGACTGAAAAGTTGGTGAAAGCCC